TATATGTTAATATTTCTGCCTTTGGACTAGGCAGTTAGAAAAGATTCACAGTGTTTCCCTGATTTGCAATTAAGATTGCTAAGCACATTAGTATTACAACATGATGATATATAGCTTTTTTTTAAACTCTCTTTCACCATCTCTGTATAATTGCCTCATTATATGAAATGTACTGTTCTCTAAATTGATGAAACTAATTTGAATTTGTGTGCCTGTGTGATAATTTTCAATGAAAATATTTTTTCAAAACTGGAGTCCCGAATTAAAACTTAGATATTTGGACGCACTAACTCAATCTTCTTTAAACGCCTTAAGTCGTGAAAATGCTACTTGTCTTTCCAATATAGATATAATCACATTCTCTAATCGGTCCACAGCTTCTCTTTCCCTATCAACATTTTTATTTTCAAGAAATAAAGCATAGGTAGTAATAAACATTTTGTTATTTTCATCAGAGTGGTTAAATTGTTAGTAAAAGTTAGCCATTCAGCATTAAAACCTATTCAAAATACTTTGGTTAAGATTAGAGTCATGAGGTTAAAGCACAGCATGGATTCATACAATTTTTTTAAAAGATTTTATTTATTTATTCATGATAGTCACACACAGAGAGAGAGAGAGAGAGAGAGAGAGAGGAGAGAGAGAGAGGCAGAGAGAGAAGCAGGCTCCACGCAGGGAGCCCGACGTGGGATTTGATCCCGGGTCTCCAGGATCGCGCCCCGGGTCAAAGGCAGGCGCTAAACCGCTGCGCCACGCAGGGATCCCGGATTCATACAATTTTCTAGTGAAATCACAATACAGCTAGCTCAAACAAAGGGGGAAGAACATAAATTTGATATTACTTTTCTTCAAGTGTCTAAGATGTAAGAAAATCAGATTTCCTCTGAGGCAAAAAAAAAAAATGTAATAAGAATAATGCTGACATTACTATAAATTCAGCCAGTAGGCTTTTTCATCGTACTGAAAAAGTATTAAAAATTCTAATAAAAAATAAAATAAAAAAATAAAAATTCTAATCATTATTTTTAAAAGCAGTCTTAATTAAAGTCACTTTGGCTGATTTTTCAGATTTGTTACAAAAATAGACCATGTTTGTATATGCTTTGTAGATGCAGTCTATAACTAGCCTCTGAGTTTCATTATTTATAAAAACAAATGCTTGAGCATTATAAACTAAATAAATGAAATGCTATATTCTTTTGTTACTTTTACAATTTTAAAAATTAACTCAATTTCATAGTTAGTGATTCAAGGACATTACCAATCATTTGCAAGCAATTATAATTTATAATTCATGTTCCTATTTCCTATCATGAGGGGTACCTGGAAGGTTTATAAAGTCATATAAATATTATCAATTTCCTTTTCAAAATATGAGAGGTTTGGGGAGTTTTCTTTTGAATAATTATTGTAGCTCCAATAGCTTAAATTTTAACATCCTAAAACTTACAGAGTTTGAAGTAAACACTCAGCTGATCACATAACCCTACTGCATGCCCAAGCATTTTTAATAAAAGATTCTTTCAATAAGCTTAGAAACATTCCCATGGCACCAAGTTAGAAGCCAAAGTCAAATTAATATGCCAAAAACAATCCCAAACCATGAAAATAATATGAATTAGTAATGAAGCTAAAATTATTAAGGTGGTTTTATGATTTTGAATTCTCTCTCTGCATTCTTATTAAATCTTTATAGACATTTCCTCTTCTGATTTAAAAAGACTGATTCATAAGACAGAATAATGTTATATCCCACAAATGAAAATATGGATGAGCACACTGTAAAACACAATTCCCTGGTTTTGTTTTATGGTAATTTAAGTTTGCTTTGACAAGGCTGAATCAATACAAGCATTCTATCTCTGATAAAAGAAAATCCAACATAGAAAAACAATTCCAAATGATAAGACTGCCCAGCTAGTAGTCTTGAAAATTTTAGAACTGATATGAATTCAATCTGGACTGTGTGTATTTGTAGTCTGAAGCAGATCTGAGGCAGTGACCCTTTCGTTTGTTTTCCCTGGCAGTGGTAGAGGTGTCTGTCATTCACGTACTTGAATAACTTGATAATTATGTCCTGAGGGGACTTAAACTATTTTTTTAATGCCCCATCCTTTCCTGTTTTCACTACTGATAGGAGTGGTGAGAAAACTCTTTCTCTTTCTACATTTTAAAATTGCCAAATATAAATGTATATATGCACATAAAAGAGTAGCGGTAAATGAGTGCTCTAACCATGCCTGCACTTTCCCTACTGCATCCTCCCCCTTCCCATCATCTTCTTCCTTTCCCTTGGAGTTAAGCACCATCTTGAATTTGTATCAACCATTCCCTTTCTTTCCTTTATACTTTTTCCATCAATGCAGATATTTCTAGATCACATATTTTTTTTATTTTTCCAGTTTTGAAACTTAATGAAACAGAATACTACAACATTCTATTATTACTTGCTTCTTTTGCTCAATATGAAGTTTTGACATGTTGATGTCAATAGCTAAAGTCATCATTTTCCCAACCATACAGTATACCAAGGTATAAACATATCACAGTTAATCTATTCCATCAGATGGTTATTTTATTTATTTCCAGAGTGAGGCTCTTATCAAAGTGTTGCTGTGAATACTCTTGTGACTGTTGCTACACCTGTACATGTACTTTCTAGGCAAAGATCCAGGCAAGGGATTGCTGAGTTGTAGGCAAGGCAAAGTAAACTTAGTTGTTAATGCCAAGGACACTGTACCATTTACACTCCCACCAGCTGTAGGTGATTACCTGCTGCTCCAGATCCTTGCTAACAATGGCGCTGTCAGACTTTCCACTTTGTGCCAAACTAGCAGTATGTATTTATACAGTTACTCATGAGGTTAACCAAAGATACTTTTTGGTTAAATGTGTTGTAAGAAAAATTCTTCTGTGGTTATCTTTTTATTATTTTAGGTGCTATCTGATAAACAGGAAGGTTTTAACTTCAGTGTAGTAAAATTCACATATATTTTCCCTTATGATTTGATAATTGTTGACTTCACTGGTTTACAAAAAACAAAAAAAAAGCAAAAAACTGTTCCTTCCACTAACTTATAAACTTCAAATTACAGATTTATAGTTTGAGAGTATGGCCCTTCACATTTAACCCACCTGGAATTACTTTATGTGCAGATTCATGAAGTAGAGATCCAGTTTTAATATTATTGTCTATGTGGATGACCAGTGGTCCCCAACCTTTTCTTCAACAGCTCATCCTTTCCCCACTTATCAGTGTCACCTTTATCATTTAGCCAGTCCTCTTTTTCTCTAATGCACTACAGCATTATTAAGACATGTTTAGTTCTGAATTCCTATGATTTACCTTCATAGAATCCCTTAAGATTATTGTGTGAGAACTGATTCATGTATTTTATTTGTTCCAGAAAAAAAAAATCCCCTTTTTGCATTACCTATGTTTGGAAACCCAGCTGAACACACATTTTCCTACTCTGACTTAAATGCTTCCCACATATTTTATATTTTGTATTATCTTATTCATATTGCCACGTGTTAAAGTCTCTGGACCTAATTATGGGTCATTTCTTCAGTTCTAACTTTCAGTGTACTAAATTTTCCTTCAGCTGTGTCTAATTTGCTTTTAAACTCATCCACTGACCATTTTCTTTCCAAAGTATTATGTTGCCAGCTTAGGAGTTCTCAGGTTCTTTTCAAATCTACTATTCCTGCCTCATATTTTTAAGCTGCTTCTTTATTTCTTTAACTATATAAAACATTGTCATTTTTATTCCAATTGAAATTTTGGTATCTGAAAACACCACATTGTTTTTCTTATCTAATACTACCCTTGGTTCTCATCCATAATACTTTGACTTCTTGTGTGAATGGGTGGCCTTAGGGTTTTGGGGGGGCTGGGCGGAGGACAAGGGGTTTTGTTTTTTAGTATTAGCCATTCATTCTCAAAGTGCTTTACCTGCAGAAATTCTTTGAAGATGGGATTGAAGTTGACATCCTCCAGAAAGAAGTAGTGTTTCCTAGTTTCCTGTTACCACTGCTCATGACAGAGAACTTAATTTAAATTCTCCACTTAGTCTACACATGTAACTGGCATGTTTTTTCTTTCCTATTAGTTCAGTGATGTGCTTAATAGGTTTAAAATGTTAATAGTGTTAAATATTTTTTAAAAAATTTTAACATGCATTTTAATAATTTTAGTCAGAAAGCACATTCAGAAAATCTAATTTGCCATAACTCCAGAATTAGGAATGTCCTATATTTTAAGGCTTTCTTTTTTTTTTAATTTAAAGTTGATGAGCTGTTATAAAAGGGCTGCTTTACATTCATGTTACTTCTCCAAATACACAACTTCTGGTTTAAAAGAGTTCACAGCGACAATACTCCTGGGATCCACTGTATCCTGGCAAGATTAGAGGTAGATGACCTCATCAGTTTTTAGAGATAGATCTTAGATTGTGGAGAGCCATCAGTACCAAAAAAGTACAACATACCAGGAGGTAATTTTCTAACATTTTAAAATTTCCTCAGTTACTGGACTCCAACCTTCAAGCTCTGTCACATTAAAAAAATGCAGAATTAACCCTGAGTACTGAGGTTTCATAAAGAACACCTGTAAACTACCCAAAGGAAGTTTTTCAAATCCTCCATTTTCTTGCCTCCTTGTTTTATGCTTTTATGGATTATCTCTGCGACTCTGATTGTCACTACTGTTCTTGCTTAGTAGTGTTAAGTTGGTCACTGGCAAGATTTTCCTTGGTCTAATCCTTTAGCTCTTTCTTTTCTCCATGGTGATGAGCCTTTCACACACCTTTTCCCATTTTGGACCTTACTCCATTTGCTCTTTTCCCAGATCTATGAGTTATCTCTGGTTAACCCCTCATCCTTCTTGAGCACCCTACTTGTCTAAAAGTGTAAGTTACATAAGTAGAACTCAGAAGGGAATTTCTTGCCCCTTCAATTAAAGGTATGCTACTACTCAAACAAATTGTAGAGAAAGTTACCTGAATTGGTCTTCCATCGGGTGTCAGCACCTCTTCTGAAAGTTCCATCATCTTGAGGGCCATCAGAGCAATGGGCTTAGCGTGGCAGAGGCTTTTCCTATGGAGTCCTGCAGCAACACAGTACGCATCACCTATTGTTTCCACCTGCAGCCATCAGACAAATCAAATGCAAACATATGATAATGAGCCAGAAGAGAAATGATTAGTTATGTGCAATCACAAATGTTGCTGAAAACATGTCAGCAAAACATCAATAAATTAAGCAATTAGACAACTGAGTGTAATCACAGCAGAGTTTGCAAACAGCCATAGTCAAATACTAACATCTCACTCCAGGGCTGTTTGTCAACGCTATCGCCATAGATGATCATTGAAATTGGGAACAACTGGAATACAGAATAATTGTCCTCTACAAAAAAGAATTACCAGTATTTTGCCTGAACAATTTTCAAATAATGACCTTTTACAAAGCCACTGTCTTGTCTCTTTCAAATTTTCAATATTGGTTATATTTGAGAGGTGAGAAATTAATGTGCAGAAACCCTCCATAATCTTACAATTAAAGAGTTAACAGGCACTGCCAGAGTCTTTTTAGACCCTATTCTAATGTTATTGTCAGCATCCATTCTGAATAGCCATTGCTTTTGTTAAATATTTCAAGTATTTAAGTTAAAATCCTCAAATTTCCAAAGCATATAGCATGGTATAAAACTAGGCACAACTTCTTCTCAGAGGAAAGTTCTCTAATTATCCAAAGTAAGGGTGGTAGATTTTGGATAATTTGCAAATGATATAACTAGTAAAGGGTTAATATCCACAAACCATAAAGAAAACATAAAACACAACACTAAAATAATAATGATAATCATCATCATCATCATCATCATTTGATTAAAAACAAGCAGAGGACTAGAACACTTTTCCAAAGAAAACATACAGATGGTCAACAGACACATGAAAAGATGCTCAGCATCACTATTCATCAGAGAAATCCAAATCAAAACCACAATGAGATATCACCTTACACCTGTCAGAATGGCCAAAATCAAAAAGACAAGAAATAACAAAGTACTGATGAGGATGTGGAGAAAGAGGAGCCCTCATGCACTGTTGATGGGAACATAAATTGGTGCAGCCACTGTGGAAAACAGTATGGAGGTTCCTCAAAAAAAACTAAAAATAGAAATGTCAAATGATCCAATAATTCCATATTGGGTATTTATTAAAGCAAAAGGAAAACACTAACTTGAGAAGATATATACACTTCTATGCTTAGTGCAGCATTATTTACAATAGTCATGACACCGAAGCAACCCAAGAGTCTAAAATATGGGATATGTACATCTAAGAATATTATAGAGCCATAAAAAGATGAGATTGCACCATTTGAGACACATGGATGGACCTAGAGGGTATTATGATAAGTGATATAAGTCAGTCAGAGAAAGACAAATATCATATGCTTCCACTCACAAGTGGAATCTTAAAAATATGAATAAACAAACAAAAAGCAGAAGCTGAAATATAAATACAGAAAACTGTTAGTTGCCAGAGGGGAGGTGGTAGGTAAAAATGGGTAAAGGGGACGAGGAGATAGAAGCATCCACTTATGGAATGAGTAAGTCAAGGGAATAAAAGGAGTATAAGGAACACAGTGTTATTGTAATACTAATGTAATGGAACAAATGGTAGCGACACTGTGGTGAACACAGCATAAAGTATTACCTTGTGAAATCACTAAGTTGAACACTTTTTTTAAAAAAAGGCTTTATATAAATGCCAGTTAACATACAGTGTAATACTGTTTCAGGTGTACAAAATAGTGATTCAACACTTCCATACATCACCCGGTGCTCATCACAACAGGTGCACTCCTTTATCTCTATCACCTATTTCACCCATCCTCCCATCCAACTCCCCTCTGATGACCATCACTATAGTCTCTGTAGCTAAGAGTCTATTTCTTGGTTTGTCTTTTTTTCCACTTGGCTCACTTGTTTCTTAAATTACACATATGAGTGAAATCATATGGTATTTGTCTTTCTCTCATTTTTTAGAATTTGTACCATAAGACAGGTTTAGTTATATGTTGCACTTTCCCTTTTAGCAGTGTGTAATGTAGTGGTATGGAGAAGACGGGCCAATAGATTACCAATGGATAACAGAAATCTAATAAAGTAGAAGATAAATGTATACACAAAAGAACAAATTCACATTAAAATCTGTATGTTATCATGCAAGCTCTTATACTATTTAGTTTCTAAATAGTTGAAGTCAGTTTAAAGCTCAGAAACAATAGGATCAAGAACTAGGCAAGAAACAGACATCAAAAAATAATGGCCCATATCAAGATGTGCAATTCTCACAATAATAAATATTAAACATACAGAAAAATTCTAAAAGATATTTCCATTATGCTAGGCTAGATTATGTTGCAATAACAATATAACTTCCAAATCTGCATGTCCTAAAATAACAAAGGCTTATTTTTGATTCATGCTATGTATTTATGTGGGTTAAGGGATCGGAAGACAGAAGAAATACGGTGCCATGTCTCTTCACTCTAGGAACAAAGCTACCAGAACCTCCCCACCTGGGGCTGATTGCTGTGGCAAAGAAAGAGAGGTTCTAACAAAGTGTACACTAGCTCCTGCAGCTTTCACCTAGGTGTGACATATAAAGCTTCTTAAGATTCATTCACTGAAGCAAGTCACAGGACCATGCTTAACATAAAGGGGATGGGAAAATTCAACTGCTCTTGTGCCCAGGCACCAGCCAGAAATATCTGGGGGAGTAACACTAGTAAGTACATGAACAAATAGGTAATAGCTTAAAATTTTCCAAACACCAACTGTCTGTAAAGTGCAGGTAATACATGTTTCTTTCTTTCCTTACAAATATATTCAGTATCTTAACATGAAAATCTTGACAGAAATGCTACCACCTTAGTATTATATCTTTCTGCAAAAGTTCCATTCTTCTCCCCTTTCCTTTTATCTAATTTGGGTCTGTGCAAGTTTAGCAGAATTAAGCATATATGCAAATTTTAGTGGATTACCTTCAAAAGCATTAGTCGATTTTGCTTCACAGGGAGCAGAAAAAGTGAAAACATTATATATCCATTACAATTACTCCTGAGGTTGTTTCCTTGAATTAAACCAATTAAACAGGTGGAGATTGTAAATATACTGAAACAAAACAAAACAACAGTCCAAAAAGTTGAGTGTGTTCTGAATTCCTTTACATCTGCCTCAATATTTTTTAAAAATACAATCTTAAGTACAACAGACACCATCTAAAAATAGTGCATCTTATTTATTTTTGGCATCTTCAACCTCTTCTTGAATGACATTAGAGAAGAATAAAGATGGCTAAACTAATCATGGAGATGGAAACGATAGTCTTCGCATCCTTTTCTCAATATAGAAGAGGAGGCTTATGTACTAAAAATAGTATGTACAACTGTTGCTCCACATATTATAGATGCTTTTATCATAGTAAAATTTTACCTATCTTGGTATATTATCTTTTTAATCCTTTATAGTAAAAACCTTCACAATATTCCAGCAATAAAGGTGGTGTAGATAAACTTCTTAGAGCCGTTTACTTGTTCTTTTTATTTACTTTATTTTAGTTTTAAAGTAATCATTTAAAATAATTTATTTTAGTTCCTAATAGAATTTCATTCCTGTAACATTCTTTACCCTCCTCTTCAGGCTAATGCTCAAGACATATCTACATGGTTTCTTGAAAATCTGGGCACAGTGAGGAGGCAGGAATGTGTGTGTGTGTGTGTTGTGGTACTGGCCAGGCTTAGCCTAAAAGAACACTGCATATAATGTGTAATGAATAATTCCTGTTCCATGGGACTCACACCCACCTTAGTCCTTCAATCTCACAGTCCTTGGTCTGTCTTCTGTTTAACTTTCTAGGACTTGTGAAAGAAAGCTTAGGGAGGGATCATAGAAACAGAGGATCAGAAAGCTCTGACAGCCTATCTTACTGGACAACTTCCCTCTCTCCCTCTAGATATCATCAAGAGGAGAAGCAAATTAGAGTCTGCTGTCTAATTGTTACTTTCTGTTTTTCATCCCTAAAGTCATTAGAAACAGATAAAGAAGGAGAGAAGAAGGGTGAGAAAGAGAGACAAAGAGAAGAGAGGTGTTGGAATGAGGTATAGGTAGACAGATGAAGCCTACAAATGAAACATGTCTTTTCTCTCCTGGCATCTCACAGAGCACTTGGTCAGCCCATCACAATCAGGTGGGCAAAGGGGGGCTAAGAAATATGATGCATTCTTCATGGGCTCATTAGCTATGACTAAAAACACATGATTCCCAGGAAGGATACCATATTCACCCTTGCTGAGAGCATGGAGCCACACTTACCAGCCAATCACCTGATATCAGATCACCCTTGCTGAAAGCATGGAGCCACACGTGCCAGCCCAATCACCTATCTGACATTAGGTATGGTTCCTGAATGACTGAAAAGAGCCAGACAGGAATTTTCTAGTAGTTGGTAGGGAGCCTGAGTCCACAGGTGATTGGGAAGTTCTCCATCACCTAGAAACTAGACAGTGGGGTTGCTGGTGGTCTGGACACAAATTATCCAAAAGGATGGCCAGAAAAGGTAGAGCATGGCACAGGCCTTCATGAAGACTTACCAGTAGCAAAGAGCAGGAAAAACTTTGGGCTTGGGTAGATTTAGAGGTCCCTTACATTTTGCCCTTTACCTCAAACAGGGTCAGCAGCTCACCGCTGTTAATGTCCCTGTTTACCCAGATACTCAGAAGGTTGGGTGAAAGGGCTCCGGGCCAGTGATGAAAATTCAGGTCGTGGTGGCCAAACAGAGGTCTTAAGGCCATGAAATTATCCCCTGGAATATAAGCAACATGCCACAGACATTACACATGAACCCAGCTTTTCATTGTTCTTGAGGTTGTGGTTCTTGAAGATACAATGATCTTCTTCAAATATGATCTTTAAGTAGCTACATTAGAAGCAGGTGGGAAGGCTCTGACAGAGACAAATGTAGATGAATGTCTTTAACATCATTTCCTTGGCTTAGACAAAATGATGGCCATGTCCATAAAAGCTATATCTTGAGGATGAGAGAGCTGAAGGAGCAGGTGAGCCACAGAT